TGCCTGAACTAGATATAGCATTAGGCGGAGGTATACCATGCTCATCCTTAACAGAAATTGTGGACCCACAAATTTCGGCAAGGTTCAATTCTGTCTTACAATATCAATTCTCGTCACAATATCTGTTTGTATGAATGGTCTTGGCGGAGGGATATGCTCAAGGCGCTTTCCCTACAGAAAGGTATTTTTAATGTCTTTTTTTGGATATTTTAAACCATGCTTTATTTTTTATACGTGATTCTCATTTTAAGATCAATAGGTTAATGAAAATCGCAAAGTATAAATTCCCATATATTTTCGGTGATGAAAATCCACAAAGTCAGGATAGTCTGATAAAAATGACCGATGCAGTTCATTTAATGAAAACCAAATCCTCTAAGAAGTTGGCAAATATGTAAAAAAAATTAAAAATCTTTATTTTCCGTTGAAATTTATTTTTATTATTTCCTTATTATAAAATGGGTTCCAAGATATTTATTTTTTTGATAGAAAATTTTCAAGAATTCATCATCGAGAAAAATATTAAGTTATTGATAATCGATTCATTTAGCTCTTATAACTAGGGATTGGAACCGCCTAAAATTTTTCTTAATCGTTTAACTGTTTAACCGTTTAATTTGGCCGGCATTAAAATAATTCCAGCCAACGATCAACATAATTCTGCCCGGAACTATGGAGCAATTTTTAAACGGTTAAACGGTTCCAATCCCTACTTATTACAAACGAATTTATTGGTAAAAAAGATTCCTTAGACAAAATAAGTCGATTACTAGTTAAATTTGCTGCATGGGTAAAGTAGGTAATCATAGTATTTCATAATGTGTAAAAATCAATTTTTTACTCATTTATTTCAATTTATTTTTTATCTCAATATTTAATAGATTCTTATCTAAATCATTTAATATGCCGACAATGGTGATAAGCCAAGTAATTTCATTGAATAACATTCGAGATGCATTAACAGATATTACGATATCGATTATTATTTGCAATAACATTTTCGATCTTGAGGTAAAATCCTTCAAGCAATTTTTAGCACACGATTCAATAAAAAAAAAAAAGAAAGAAAAGCCTTGAGTACATTAAGATTCTCGTTAATTGAAAGCTAGTAACATTTATCTACAAAAACTTGAAATAACGAACATGGATGTTATTTCGATGTCAAATCCTTTAAAAATGTCATATTTGGTTCCAAATAAGCCTACGGCGTCCCGAAATAACGCACATGACGTACTCAAAATAACGAACAAACGCCCATTATTTGAGTTTTTACGTACTTATTGTATTACAAGACCATGACCATTCCAGTATCTTAAAATTCTTTAAAAATCATTAAATAAAACTTATTACCACCAGAAGCCCATATGGTATAAGGTTTATCAAGCCAATCAAATTATTAATCATCCGTCTTTTTTGTATTATTATTATATAATTATTTATTCAATCATAACCTGATCTCGGTTTATAAATCCATTTCTGGTTAGTTTTGCGCGTACTCACAACTTCAACACCTCTTTCTCGCGCTTTGAAGGGTTCTATCATTTGTAAGCAATACAACCGCCTCATTATTATTGCCTCTTTTTCCTGATTTGTTATGAAAACCGTTATCCCTGTGATTCTTGGTATGCCACAGACAGATGCCAAGAATACGATCATCCAAAATTTCTTTTTATCTTCACCATCATCAAAATCAAATTCTTCACTAAAGTTAATTTCAGATACATAATTGCTTTTACTTGTCTGAACTCTGAATTTTTTAGACAATGATAAAGCTCGTTCAAAATAAGTAACTGCCTCGGATGCTGCAGTGTCAAGAGGGGGTGGGTTAAGTTTTATCTCATCCAATTCCGTGAGAATAAGAAAAAAAAATTAAATAAATAGAATAAAATAAAATAAAACTCAAGTGTTTCTATTATATTAACTAGTGTTCGGATCCTCTATTTGGATCCGAATTCGATCCACTAACGAATCAGATCGGTCCGAATCTTTTACAGAACACCAATATTTAATATTTACTTACCAACTAAACGTACAACCACAATCCAATTATCACTTTAGATGATTTTTTTTGACCATGTTGAAATCCCCGATAAGGCAATTGTATCTATCACAATTGCAGTATATCCTGCAGCAATTCTATAATGCGAAGGTGGTGTCACCTTTTTCGTTGCATGAGAGGTATTTTTCTTGGAATTCTTTGACTAAAATTTTTGTGTTGAGGACCCTCACAAGTTGCAGCTAAAAGATTCTCTAATTCTTGTTTGCGAGACTAAATAGAATAGGTAACATAATATCATGTATATAGTGTGAATATTTACATAAATATTTATATAATAAAGACATACTTTCAATTCTGTAGCCCTGATTTTCAATATTAAAAATCTAAACCAATGATTTTCTGTAAGACAGTAAATATTACTTTCATCATTGATAAAGAAAATATGAATAAATTATATGAGTAAATGAACGAATTAAATTTCCTTAGTTAACAGATAACCCAATTCCATAATCCTTGCTCTACGACGATTTTTAGAATCTTGATCATAAATCAGATTCTAATCATCATTAATATTATTTGTGACAAGTTCAATGTCATCATCCACAAAATTTATATATGGTTTAGGTACATGTTCAAACATATAAAGTTCATAAAGTGACGAAGCCAAGAAAAATCCTATAATTTCTTTTATTGTAAATGGAGATACTTGATAGCCAATTTCTGTGAGGAATCAGACCTAAGTATCCCAAAAATCAGGACAAATAGATTTGTCAAAAAATTTTCTCCAAATACAATCATTAGATTTTTCTGCGAAGTTATTAAAGCATCATTTACTACCATCCAAAGTAACACGATCTCACAATATAAAAGCAAGCCCTCAAAAAAATCGACTTCACCCTGAAACTTTATAGAGTCAAGATATTTAGACATGAATTGATACATGACAGTAAAAGTGAGCCTAGATGCTTCAGCAAATGTTGGATCTAAATCTAGAATTTGATTAAAATCCATATTAGTTGATGTGGTTAACCTGAGAGACGAATTTTCGGCATTACCATAGTTGTATAAGTTTGATATATTAATAACCGCCATTCGCATGCGAAATTCCAGCCACCTTGTCCATTTATATCGTTATAACTCTGAATATCTTTCAATTTGAATAATTTATTTATAAATATTTCTAAAATATGGTCAAAAAATTCAAGACCAACTTTGTTAAAAAGCATTCCATGTAATCTGATATAGTGGTAATGTTTTCATAATTTCGAAAAGCTCACTGGTCGAAATCAAATTTTCTTGTTTTTCAGCTAGCTCTAACTTGTCAAAATAGTTTTTAATAGTTTCAGTAGGAGGAGAGATATACAAATACCTTTTTATTTATTCAAAATGCTTCAATAATATTTATTTCAAAATGTGATAAAAGAGAAACTTAGGATTCTTATTTCAATATTGGTTGAGGAAAGGCAACTTAAAAATGCCCTAATAGATTACAAGAGCAATTAAAATAATTAATTATTATAATTTATATTAGTCTCTTGGTTGCCAGTAATTATACCAGCCCCTTTAATTAGTGCATACGTATTTATATTAATCACTATTTGATCCAATAAAATGTTTGTAAAAAAAAGAAAAAAAAGATTGACCGGTTTTGAAAAACTGGCTTTATAATTTGCTAACAAATTGATGAATCTCTGGTGAAGTGACTTAATATGAACTAGAGGTTTAAAATTTGAAGTTGGCAGTAATAATGTTTGTGCAGCACTTGAACATTTATTAACTCTTTTGAAAACTTTTTAGGTTTTCTTTTTCTCTTCTTTCTCATTACTTAAGCTTGATCCTGGGTTTTCTAAAAAATTTCAACAGGATGTAAGAACTGGCATAAAGCTTTTCTCATATTTAGAAAATGCATAACTGTCATTATTATTAAATGAAGGTGACAAAATCATAATTGGCATAATAGAAAAATTTTTTTAACAATTTATTAAAATTTGATAATGATTTTTTTTTAAAAAAATGCATAAAGTTACTTAAAGTTATTTTAATTGTAAATCAATACATATGATAAAAAATCATGTGGTTTTGCAAAGTTATGATTTTTATTTTTTTTTAGAAAAAAGTAAAAATATGCTTATAAAAATTAGGTAAGATTTTAAAAAATCTAACAAAAATAAAGTTAATATGCAAATTTGCCTGCTAGATAGTTTAAGAAATAGAAGTTAAAAAGTTAGACCAATAGTAGATGTAAAGATTATTATTATAAAAAAAGATTGGTTTTGTTAGATATTTTTGTTCTGTAATACTTGCAATAGATATGTTTTTATTGAGTTAATAGTCTTGTTAGGCTTCTTTTTTTATAGATTTATTAAAGTCTTTAATATTGTATATAGTAATATAATAATTAGATAAAGATGGTATGATGAGTAAATCTTCTATCTATATATAATAATAAGTGTTTGAAGTACTTAGCTAACTTGACATCCTTAACACGTTCTGCATGAAGATTAGCATATCCAGTTGGATATAATGTTAGAAATGTGCATGCAATATAACTAAATGTTTGAAACTCATTAATAGGATTTTTATCAATATGTGGCTACATAATCATATTACTAGTATTTGATTGAGTGTATTATTTATTGAAGTTTGTTCTCTACTATTTGAAGAAAGAAGAGATATAAAAATGCTTGTAATTACACTTTCTTTACTTTTTATATTTGAGTTATCTATTATTTGACTACACCAAAATTAATTATTAATAGAACCATCTTTTAGTAAGCATTAAAGATTTTCATTATTGATTATAATTTCAAAATAATAGTGATAATTAGCCTTTAACCAATGTAATGCCTATTTGACTTTATTATGACATACTTTAAAATCTCTAAATAGCACTGAATCTTTTTCAGACTGCTAATATACAATAAGTATATTAAGTAAAGATGGACATTATAAAAATTGAGTAGTAAATTCTTCTATATCTTGAGAAAAGTTTATAACATTTCCACTATATTCATGTTGTTTTCTATGAAGTCTGTAAACTATTATTACAAAGAAGACTTATGCAATTAACATTTCTTCAATTTTAGTAAGTTTTTGAAGTTTCTTAAGTACTTTACCTACAAGTATTATAGTTAGAAAATATTTATTGTATGTAAAACAGAGTGTATACTCTAATTTATCCATTTTAATACAAAATTGTTGTAGAAGTTTTTGGTCATGTTTATTGAGATATGCAGAAAAAGAATTAGTATATTATATAATTATATTATTATTACCACTTTGAGATGTATCTAACTTTAGCTGTAGGTCTGTATTATCTAACACATTCTGTTCATTATCATGTTTATTTTTTAGTTTCATACTTCTGAAAAACATACCAAACTTCAATTGCTAACTACTATTTAGCAAATTAGACTCATCCTCATGTTCAACATTTACATTTGTACTTTTGGAATTTTGTCTACTTATATTCATGCTTGTACTTCTAAAATTTTACCTACTTATACTTGTACTTCTAGAAGTTTGTCTACTCATACTTGCACTTCTGAAATTTTCTTCATTTATGTTAGTAAGCTATGTTTCAAGCTTTTTTGTTGCTCTTTTTTTGCCATTTTCTATCACAATTTTGTGTGAGATGCATTTCTCATTGTTGAGATATTTCAGTTTGTCTTCTTTTACATTTTTAAAATGTATTGTAATAAATAATATCTTTTGCTTGATTTTTCTTGATTTGGCTTTCTTCTAATTTGATTCCTTCTATTTTGCTTTATTCTATTTAGTTCATTTTTATTAATTCTTTCTACTTCATCTTTTTCCATTGTGTACTGTTAAAACATGATAAAAGTAAAGTTATCTTTGATTAATGAAAGTTTATTTATATATTATAGAATAGTTATCAATAATATATACAATTATTTAAAATATGACAAATTATTTTTTTTTAATAATATTATTTAATTGTTTATTAATATTTAAAGAATTATATAGTTCTTGAATTTTATTGAAAAATATAGGTTTTTTATACATTTTCATTACATACAACTTTCTTAAATTATATATTATCTATTACTTATTTTACTTCTGATTCATTAATGAAGTGCTTATCTGTTTTGCTTTTTTATCTGTTTTTTCTATTTATCTATTTTATCTTTTATCTATTTTTCTTCTTTATCTATTTGTTTCTTAATTACATTAAGATCTATTACTTTCACATAATCCTGCCATATTACATATCTTTACTTTTGTATTACTAGCTATACCTAATAATACAGAATTTGCAATAACTATATAAGACAAAGCAAAAATGCAAAATACTAAAATCAGAAATGATACATAGTTGAAGAAACACAGAATACTACAAAAAAATTTTTTGCACTTAATCTATCTATCAAGTTTATTTAAAGATAAGCAAAGTAATAAATAATTACTTCTTTATTACTCTCTAATTTATTTTTATATATTGTTCTAATTATTTTTTATTACAATTGATTATCTTTATTATGATTTACAAATGCAATCTGAGTTGTCTAATTTAAAATCCAATCTGGCATATTTTGCAAATATCAGTTTTTTATTACTCAACCCATTGATCTTTACTACATGTAGGAATGCTAATAGAGCTATAGTTAGGGATAAAACTATTGAATTATAGCATTTTACAAGATAGTAGAATTAATCACAACACATTATCTGATTGCTATAAATATTATATGTTATAATACCATAATAGCATAATATTGAAGCAATTCTTGGATATGTGGCAGCTTTGTAGTGTATTAAAATTCTTTAAAGTTTGTATTTACAAAGTATATAGAGTATTATTTACAGTTATCTGAAGTTGTATATCTCTTTTTTATCCTATTGGTTAATCTAATCTCATGACTTTATCTTGAGGTTTTTATATTTATACTCTATAAAGCTTTTTGTCTATCACTATTACCACATGATAAAAAAAATACAAACTAAATTATAATGTTAAATTCTTTTATTTATTATTATTATTATTGTTTTAATCCTATGATCTATATATGAAATTATTCTTGTTTTTACCTATTTTTGTTTCTGTTTTGACTATAAACAGCTATAAAATTCAAGAAAGAAATTTTACCAATTTAAATAATAGTAATTATTGTTATAATTTTCTTTTTTGAATTCTATTACTATGTATGTATAGTTCTGGTTGTATTATTGCTATTTGAATTAATTAAATCATATAAATTTCTTGCTTCATTTTATCTGAATAAATCAGACTTGTATTATATCAATTTACTTTGTTTAATTTAAAATTTTCAAATATTAAGTTTTAACTTTTTTGAAATTAATTTCAATAATTTAAATGTTTATTTTTAAATATAACAAATCAGTGTCTAATAATGTATATAGTGTTATAGGTGAAAAATCTGTGATGGCTTATATGTTATAACACATAACACAAATGCCAATTGAGACCCAGAATCAAGTATGCATAATCAACTTATAATAGTGAAATGTGTATAATCATGCCTCAATACCTAGCAAAATAAATATGCTCGAATTAGGAAATGCATTACAACCATAACAGCAATGTTTCAAAGTGCCAGAATTCAAATATTAAGAGAATAAGGTAGTATAGTTGTAATAGAATAAAGTAAAAGTGAAACAATTAAGAATATAATACTTACTCAGTCTAATAAAACTCATAATAGTGCAATTGTGTAGAGATGTAATAGTGAGAAAGTAAGAAGGGAAGCTAAAATTAAACAAAATTTGTTAGTAAATATAAAATGATATAAAAAGCAAATTGAACATTTAATAAAATACTAATTTTGGGCACCCTAAGTAAGAGGAAAAAAGGATTGAAATCAGCATAATAAAATTTATACTCACCAAATCCTTATCTATACCTGAAGTCTTATTACCTCAAATTCATAATGTTACATAAGGTCTTGTCTATTGAAGTGACAGACTCACTATTTATCTGTCACAATAGCATACATAATATACATAATATTTGTAATATTTATATGCAACATTATGCAAGAAACAATTTTTGTTAAAATGCAAAAACTAATTAAAAATTTAAGATAAAGTATTTTTATGATTTGATTTAGAAT